TATTTAAATGAAGTTTGCCCCGTGCAAAGATTATTTATTTGGAATCAGTATTTTTGAGCATCAGTTTTGTGTGCCAGTGGTTTGGCACACAAACCTTCAACATCACACCAACTCCAAGTTACTTCTGAATCAGAGGAGTTACACCGCTGGCTTAATATCACTTGGTAAGAAGAGAGATCTGAAATCTAATTCAGGTCCTTAAATTTCAAGTTCAGGTTTGTTACACAACATTCAACTGCCACTCTAGAGATAACAGATTTTGATGTATTTTAAAGAGCTACAAAGACCTTTCACTTAGTGTTTAGCACATATACAAGGATAACATTTATAATCGCTTCACTCATTTAATGCAAAATCCCTATGATTCGCTTTAACAAGGGTGGCTGTATTGTCTTATAAGAAGGACTGGTCCCATGAGGAGAAGGAACAGGAACATCAGGCAGTGTCTGTATGAGAGACAACTCAGGGATAGATGCCATGGGAAGCTCTAGTGTCCACTCTCCACCAGCAGCTCTTTCTCCCCCAATTTTTCCCTGTAATGTTTTGAAATCCCATCATGTTAAATGCATTACTTTGGGGAATCATATTGCAAACATTAAAACCTCCCCCAGATTTGGTGCTCACTAAGTTACAGTGACAGAGAGGTTAGCTTACATTCTCACTTGGATGGACTGACCATGTCTGCTTGGAGCTTTGTGATAGGTGGAATTCTGTAGTCACATCTAGGTTCCGTAGGTTCAATTATCAATGTCAGTTAAGGGGTGGATCAATAGTACTCATTCATCAGTATCAGTCGTTAAGTAAAAATGGATTTTACTTGTTATAATTATACCAAGCTATGCAAATCACTAACACCTCAGTGTGAATTTATCTGATAACTTTCTTAATATTAGAAAGGGAGAGAAATATAATTCTGAAGCTAATGCTTGGATAACTATGTAAGTTATTGTGCATACCAGAACACTTTTGAGAGCAAAAAGGGAGTCTATTAACAAAACTCCATGACAATATATAATCGTGACAGGGTGGTGTGGTCACCTTGGCTCTTGGGAAAGGCAGTCCCTTACTGACAAAAATATATGCTAAGGAGTTCCACCTTCAAATAAGTCCACCAACATCTCTTTCCCAATGCTATGCTTTTTTACAGCTATGAATTCCAGTGATCATATCTCCCCAAGAACAAAGAGAAACTGAAGCAATTCCATCTGGGTAGGATTCCTGAGAGCCTGAGAGATTCCCTATGAAGCACATGAAAGAAGTAAAGTCAATTTGCATTTTTTTTCAGAGGCTGATTTTCCAACTAGTGCATTATTTTCTGGACCCTTGTTTCATTTCTTCCACCAGTTCATTGAATAAAATGTCAGGACTGATAAGAAGATTTGATGGGGAAGAAGGTAAAGCTATTACATGAAATGAGTTTGGGGAATTACCAACAGATTTCAATTATTCATATTACTCCTACTAAAAGTGATCGGCTGGGAAGAGTGGTGATTCAGCTGGACAACCTCGCTGTTTCTAAGATATAGCTGTCCTTGTTCTTTTTTGCTTCTTTGTATAGAACATGCATTAAATGTGCATTTATGAACACATAGATTCTCACTTCTCCAGCCCTATTATTTATGACTAACAAGATTTTAAATCAGCTTGCAGTAATAAAATAAGGACATTAAATCATTCCATAGTCAATGTCTTTTTACTGGATAGTCTATGTTCTACATGCAAAGAAAATATTGTTGAGGTATGGTTTTAAAGGGAAGAAAAATGATTAGAACCCACATGGTATATGATGAATTGCATGTATGCTTACTAAGCTGTCTTTAAATGCAATTATTATGTGAGCTTAATAGAATATTTAAAATGAAAGAAACGCACTATGAAATTTTAAAAAATATTACCAGTACACAAAGGTGTTGATTTTGTAGTAGCCCTTTTTAAATTTAATTGGATATTCTTTTTATTCATTCAAATCTTAATCATACTCCAAAATCCAAACTAAGGTCTACTTCCCTGTTGAAGGTTGTTGCCGATTATAGATTCAGAGTCTGCCTTTGTTCTTAGCTTTTCATGCCTATAATACTAGTTGTTCCCCTAGTTTATACTAACTTGACTTATTACTCTATAGTTGTCTTACATAATTATCTTTTGATTTTTGAATTACCGTTGGATTTTCACAAAAGAAACCAGCATTATCTTCCAAACTACATTGTAAATTCTTCAAGAATGGGGGCCATTTATGATCTGTCCTTATCTTTGTCCACGATCCTACAGAATTTTGACTGTATTTAGGTTGAACTATGTGAAATTGCTGAACATTTTATCAGTCTGACCACAGGTCAGAAAATGTCACATGGTTTAACCTACAAAGAGTTGTTCTAGAAATAATTATGCGATTGTTTACGGGATTGAATTGTGAGATCAATCAGGGATTAAAGAGTGGGATTGTATTTAAAACTTTAAATTCTTATTTGTAAACATATTTATGAATATAAGTATAAAATATATATGTACTGATGAAGTCCTTTAAAATAGATGATTAAGTTGTGATTTTAACTTTTCAAGTAGACATTCAACCTCAAACAGTTCTTCCAGTAACTTTCAGACATGATTTTGAAAGACATGAATATGATTTGCTCTTTTCCAGGCAAATAACTCTATCTGAAATAACAGGTCATAAAGTACTGACTCTAAGCATAGTAATGCTTATATTAAATTATTTTCTGGCACTGTATAATTGTTGATAAAATTATTCTGTAGAATATTAGTAATCTCTATTTTGAATGCTTACAATATGGCAGACATTACTCTAAACATTCACATCTGTGTTCTCATTGAAGATGAGTTCCTTAGTTTCTTGGCTGGAAAAAATAAGATGGAATCCTTTCCTTCTTCTTTCTGCAGATGAGCAAATTGAGACATGATGGAGTAATGTAATGTGTTCAGCACCACACAGCTAATAATAATAGTACTGGGTATCAAAGTCAGGCAATCTGACTTCAACCCTTCTTTTAAATACCTCAGTGAATCTAACCAATAGGAGTAGAGTTATACAAAAATTAGAACATATTAAAAATTGGTTAGTTTTGTGAAATATATAGCATCTAGTGAAGACTTTGTAATTTGGAGTTACAGAGTTAAATAGAGTATACCTTAGGCTTGGAGACCTGCAGTTTCAGTTATTTTGTAAGCAACTCAAAATCATTCTGAGTTACAGTATGACAGTTTCCCACATTAAAAACTGGAATTTGTAGAAGGGAAAGAATAATAAGTCATATAACACTTAAAAATAAGGTTCCTTAATTAACAGATTCATTTTCATATTTGGTTATGAATGCAAGTATGCAAATACTTTTGTAAAATTATGTTTTTGCTACTTTTTAATAATCAATGTTCTCTAATGAAAGTATTATTGTTACTTGAAAACTACAAAATCACACAAGCAAAGCATAAATAAGGCTGCTTAACTGTGTACAGTAATCAATAGGTTTATATACATATATAATATGCACCATATGCACATATATAATACATTTTGCAATAAAATTTGCCTTAATTCACATCAAGTATTTTTTATAATTTGATTTTTGTTATAATAACTTATATAATCCAGGGTTGTTTCCTCTATTTTTACATGAGAAGAAACATGTTTTCCTCTAGAATTCAGCATCAAACTAGTGAGCACATTATTGGGTGGAGAAGTGGGCATTTTCCTTCAAGTTTCTGGGCCTTAAGTTGATTGGCTGGAAAAATGAAGTTATTAAGTTAGATGATTTTATGTTGTTCAAATGATGACTCTCTACAAATGTCTCACAGCAGGATTTGTTTATTCATTTTTTTAAAAAAGTCATTATACCTATTGGGGTGACATTGCTGAATAAAATTATACAGGCTTCAAGTATACAATTCTATAATATGTCATCTGTATTTTGAGTTGTGTTCACTCAAAATCAAGTGTCCTTCCATCACCATTTATGCCCCATGCCCTCTTCCACCCCCCCACCCCCTTCTCCTCTGGTGATCACCATATTGTTGTCTGTGTCTATGAGTTTCCTTGTTTTTTTCTTAATCCTGTCACCTTTTCTCCATCCCCCGAGTTTTCTTCCCCTCTGCCAGCTGTCAGTCTGTTCTTTGTGTTCTCTGTATTTAAAAGGCTGTTTCTATCTTGTGTGTTCTGTTTGCTCGTTAGATTCCACATGTAAGTGAAACCATGTGGTATTTGTCTTCCTCTGACTGGCTTATTTCACTTAGCATAATACTCTCCAAGTCTACCCACTGTTGCAAAAGTCTACAGTCTAGGGTGTGCAGTTTTTTTAACCCTCCCTGGAGGACATGCTCATTAGCTTCAGAGAGAGGGGAAGAGAATGAAGGAGGGAGAGAGAGAGAGAGAGAGATAAAGAGAGTGAGAGGGAGAAACCACAACTGGTTGTGTCTCGCACATGACCTCACTGACTTGGGATCAAATCCACAACCTAAGTATGCACCCTGACTGGGAATCAAACCTACTACCCTTTGGATGACGCACCAAGTAATTAAGCCACACTGAACAGGGATAGGAGGTGCAAATTTGTGTCTCCTAATAAATAAGCTCAGCACACCCTTCTTTTTAAGGAAATATCTAAGGAGAATAGTCATGGATTTTTCTTAGTACAGACTTAGGAGTCTAATATTATAAGGTGAGCCATACAAAACTTATGGAAACTTTTCTGAATGGAGATCCAAGAAGCTATTCCCCATGGCTGAGTGAGGGAAGAGGAGCTGAGAGGAGGTTGAAATTGAGGTATCGTGGCCCAGGAGGCTTATCATATTCAAGTCACATCTTCCTGAACTTCTTGAGTTTTCTAATCATTTCCATGAATTAACTTTTTAATGTCATTAGGGGTTATCACAAACAAATTATGGGCCATCTGTTGTCATTTCTGCTTTAGGAGAAGTGCTTGAAAAGTCAAACTAAAGTAGTGCTCAAGTTCAATTGGGGAGAAGAAGGTGGTGTTGGGCAAGGTTACCTTCTTACAGGCTGTGACAGAGCTCCCCAGGCTGCTTCCTGAGCTGCTGGCGCCGCCCTGCTGGGCTGCCGGAGCCTCACACATCAGTCGTGACTCCGCGTTGCTGTTTGTGCCCAAAACACAAAAGAGAACACATTATTCCAGTGAGCCATCTCCATATTCAGACAGGAAGAGACACTAGGGGGCTTATCGAAAATCATCTTTCCAGACTGACTGACCGCTGCAAATCCCCCTGCTGACTTTTTTGGGTTGGCCACACTTCTGTCATTGGGGGACCACCGAGAGCTATTTTACTGTCAAAACGAAACCGCAACCCAGTGGTTAGGTGGACACAATGATCTGCCTGACTTGTGGCTCCGGCGACATCTTTTCTTTTGTTTTATTATTTTAAATTATATTTTCCGATTACAGTTGACATTCAATATTATTTCCTATTAGTTTCAAGTGTGCAGAATAGCAGTTAGACAATGATATGTAATATTTCACAAAGTATTCACCCCAACATATCCAGTACCTATCTGATACCATGCATAGTTATTACAATATTATTGACTATATTCTCTATGCTGTACTTTACATCCCCATGACTATTTGGTAACTACTTATTTCTACTTCTTAATCACTTTATCTTTTTCACCCATCACGATGCCCCCACCTCTGGCAACCATCCATCTGTTCTCTGTATCTATGAGTCTGCTTCTGTTTTGTTAACAACTTTTCTTAAACAAGAGGTTTGAAAACTCAAGTAATATCTTTCTATCTCTACTCATTTTATTTTTTTAAGGAGGGAAAATGTAATTTTAATCAGGAGGTAGGGTGGTACCATGAAAAAAGAATGTACTTTCAAAAACACAGATCATCTCTCCTTCTTTTAATTGAAATACATTTGATGTGTCCTGTGTGAATTTAAGGTGTATGGCATGTTAATTACTCCGGCCACTAAAAAGAAATGGTTGTTATGTAATCAGGTCCCGTCTGTATCGACGGCTGGTTGGAGGCAGAGCAGGATCTTAGCTCCTCCGCCTCCAGAGTTCTGGGCTTTCCATCTATTTTGCCCATCTCTGTCCAGTCTCGGTGGATTGGACCACACCCGGGGCTGTATCAGCACTTTCAAACACTTAAAATCACTTCTACATCCTCAAGATGTGATAAAAATGGAAACTGTTACCAAACCTGCTTCTCATGACTTGATTGGAGGTTTTAAATAAGATCAATTTAAACACAAAACCCCTCTGAATCATCAAGATTTCTAAATATTTCTTTTCTGAAAATAAAATTTGGAATAAAAAAGTACCGATATTTCAAGTCTACATATTTTATTGTTTGATGTTCACCACATAGAACATGTACAATTCATTGCATACATGTTTGAAATGTCCTAATGATTCCTTATATAATTATCAACCCAACATATAGAATTTTTCTCTTAAAATAAGCACCAAATACACTGGTTAAACAAGCAATGGATTTATTATATATAATCCTCATGATTTAAGATCTAAATTAGTCAAATTTATTATTTTGTAATTAATTAGCCATAAGTCAAATAGTACATGAATGCAGTCCGTTAGTATTTACCTTATTAGTTACCGTGAATAGCTCTTTAAAAATGACTGTGCCGATGGTGCTATGTTACAGATCATCAACTCAGGTAAATATTGGACAGAATAATTTAAAAAATTTTGTTTCAAATCTGTATATATTATTTTCTGAGTAACTGCCACACTGAAAACCAAAATGAGCCTAATTTAAATTAAAGGATATCGTCATGTTACCTCTGCTTAACTGAGAAAAGAGGAAGGAAGGAAGGGAGGAAGGGAGGAAGGGAGGAAGGAAGAGAAAGGAAGAGAAAGGAAGGAAAGGGGAAGGAAGGGAAGGATGGAGGGAGGAGAAAATGCCTAGCTTTTCTGGGACTATCTCTTCACTGATAAATCAAATGTTTGGAGTAAATTTTTCCAAGCTCCAGAAGTCTCTTGTAAAATATCCTGGAGGTCCTGACTTTTTAGCCCCATTTTTACCAGTTTCCCACAATGTGGGACCCATAGCATTTTAAACTGGCATTTAACTGTGTCTGTAACTTAAATGTAACTGCAGATGACCTTCTGAATGCTTTTTGGTCACAAGATAGGTTGCTTTTACCCAAACACCAAACAGGTTGGAAATCATATGCACATAAAAGATAAGACCATAGACCAAGCTGCCTTTGGTCTGTAATGACTTAGCCCATGAGTTAAAAAAAAATCACGTTATTTTTTTCCAGGAGTCAGTCAGTCCCTGTGTGCAGGAGGTCAGGGAGACAAGCTGAAGAGTCCACACAACATGTGTTCTGTTGCTCTTGTGTCCCCTAGGCAGCTCTGATGATTTAGTGAAGAACCCCCATCCCAGGACTCGTGTCTATTGTTAGAGTACCTCCCATGTCTCTTTACAGGGTTAGCAATCCTGGGGGTGGGAATAAGGCAGGATGAGAAGTAAGGTTGAGACAGACCTGATATTGTATAAGACAAAGTAAAAACAGGGCTTCGGTAGAGGGGAACCACATTTAACGAGGGTGGAGTTGGGTGGGTCCCAAAGCTGGGTGTAGTGGGAAAACAGAAAAGGAAAAGCTCACCCATGCAAATGTCTTCTTTCCCTACAGAGCACAATGTATATGACTTCAAGTAGGCACGGTGCTAAAGGAATTGTTATATACAAAAAAGTTTAAGAACTGCTGAGCAATCAGGTGCTAGGGAGACAGGGCAAGTCTACCCCATATATATCTTGGTATGAAAGCCCTTCTGCTAATAAGATGATTGTTAAGATCCTGCTTAGAAATGAAGGCGAGGAATGGAATTTCAAAGTCTCGCTTGCCTTCAGGGCTTACTCCATGTTTCCCAATGCTAAGTCTGCATAGCATTCATAAAACATTTTTTAAAATATTTGTTTGTTTATTGTGAGAATTAAATGAGGCTGTGGAGTCACAGAGTGGGACTAAAGTCAGTGCATTGCTTGATAGCAAGTGCGATTCAACTCTACTACAGTATCGAAAGTGAAATCATCTTCTAGTCTCCAGACACACATGAGAAATCAATTCAATGATGTCTGATATCCAAAACTATATGTAAAGGGGCTTTTATGTCTTAGACCATGTGACATGGGTGTGAATTTCCAGGAGGTGACTTTACAACACAGCCCAATTTGTTCCCATGCCTTTGGGATGGAGGTGAATTTTCAGAGTATGTGCAAAGATGCTGTCCTTGGTCTGCAGGGGAGCAGAACATTGGCTGCTACAGGATGAGGCAGAGATGGCAGCAAAATGAGACCTGCACATTCTTTAAAATGAGTTCAAATCAACGGTAAAACAACCGTTGCCAAGGCATCATTACTTGCTCTTAATGGGGAAGGCTGCAAGTTCTTCTTGGGGAAGTTTTCCTTTGATTTGGACAAGTGTTGATAATATTTATTAAGGACATCCATTCAAATCAGTTTCATGCTGAAACTGATAAATGGGTTTCAAGGAAAAAGGAGATCCAGGTGGAAAAAAAGACACAAAAGCAGAATTTGAAGTAGTGGCTTTAGAAGTATTATGGGAGGAGAAGTAGGCTTCATTACAGAAAATGTCATTTCTGAGTACACCACTGAGTTGTTACTGTGCTGTGATCACTGACGACCCATGCACAGTGAATAAGTAGATCACCATCAGTAGTGACAATGGCTTAGGGAATATTCAGCTATTTTCCCAGAAAGCAGCACCCAGTGCCTAGAAATTGAGTTCTCTATATGTTGTCAGTCAAAGTCTGCTCTGAAAACCAGGTGCATTGATATTGCCTGAGAGCTAGTGAGCCACCCAGCAGCTCAGGTCCCTCCCCGACACTACTGAATCAGAATCTGCATTTTAACATTAAACTCAGGCAACACATACACCCATTAAAGCTTAAGAAGCACTTATCCAACATTCTCATTTGCCTTTGGTCCTTTGCACATGCTGTTCCTTCCTTTAGGAACACCCTTCCTGATCCCCTCCTCACTCCTAGACAATCCCTGCTCTACCCACTGTATCACCTCCTGTGACTCCCTCCTTCTTTCCCTCAGTCAAGGAAGCCACTCTTCTCAACCTTCCTCCAATGTCCCAGGCATACACAAATATGCTCACACCCTCACCTCTCCTCTACCCCCACATTTCCACCCTCACTCCAACCCAAGAAGTGAGATAGACACTTTTCTAGTATGTTCTAGCAGCACCCTGAACCATGTCCTGTTGAAGCTCTTGTCAAAATGACATATAATTGTATAATATTTGTCTGTCTCATTAGGCTATAAGTAATGAAAAAGGGGGGGGACCCTTAGGACCTAGATCAGCGTAGGCAGGCTAAGTAGTGATCAGCGTAGGGTGCTCAATTAGTATCTATTAGTGTTGTTTGTTCTTATCTTTCTGGGCATCCTGGGTAACCTCAAAAGATTATGCACAAAAGAGTGAATTCAAAGCTAAATTTTGTGCAGTGGTGACAGATGGAGGAGTCAGTCACATCTGAGGAGATAATTTAAAGAATACCCCTGGATATTTCTGATGACAAAGGACCCTGCTGCTCTTGTTTGTTACTAACATGTCAAGTACACACAGTGTAAAGTTTAACAGTGTTAACAGATTCTTAAAGATGAGGTTTGCTCTTGTCTTCGTCCCTTCTTTAAAGAATGCTTTTAGTAGAATGTAGTAATTGACATTGCTTTGACTGTTTCAGTTCTATTAAGGATATCTATTCTTGAGCTTTCTTCTAAACCCTTTGATCTCAACACTGGAAAAAAACAAAAAGATGCACATCTATCAGAAGAGAACTTGAGCAAGAAATTGAGGAGTTGTTTTGTTTAAAATTAATTTAATGGATTTAGAGGATTTTAAAATACAGCTTCTCATGGTTCAAAATAAAAGTTTGCTAAGGTGAATGTTCTCATTTTTTTTTTTATTATCTCTACTTTATTTTGTGGAACAAGTATTTGGAGAGGTTAAAATGGTCAGTGATATTATTTTGGGTATTTCCAGGTTTTTTTTTTTTTAAATTTTTTTTTAATTTTATTTAGTTATTTTTCAAGTACAGTTTTTTGTCTATTTTTCCCATCCCAGCCTCCCCC